GCCGCTGCCATGTCGTGAAGGCGCTGTGTGTTTCGTTGTGAAAGCGAAACTACTTAGTTTGGCCTTCCAAAAGAGGACACGACTAGAAATCAGTGGTTAAGTTGTATTTACAACACTGTTCCAGAACACTTCAACCCAAATATTCAGATGTGTGCAGCACATTTTACGGAGGACTGTTTCTTGGGAGAGTAGCCGCCGGCGCGATGCAACGCAACGCGTAAAAAGACAGTATGAGTCATTATAATCAGTAATTATGTCCCCACTGATGCAACAAATGCCTCGTTTGTAATGGGTTTTAATGTTTATGTCTCGTCGCTCCGGCCGGACACGGCATCATCACAGTATGGTGAGGGGCGTATCATTTCCGTCTCACGCTTGAGGTATTCGGCCAATCATAACGCACTGGATAGCTGGCCAATCACAGCACACCTCGCTTTTTCAGACCGATGAGCTTTGTAAAAATCTACGCATTTCAGAAAGGCGGGGCATAGAGGAGAAACAATAATGTACAGTATGTGGAAAATAATGTGTTTTTTTAACCTTAAACCACATAAACATATTTCATTACACCAAATACACCAAATAATGTTCTTTTTAGCAACATCATATGACACTTTTAAGGGTTAATATTCACAGAATGTTTTTTTTGTTTTGTTTTTTGCAAGGCGTTAAAGGGGCACATGAATTTCATTGATGGCTGTGAAGTTATCTTCTATACTTCCTGTTATGCACTCATTTTGTAATGCAGTGATCAAGGCCACCAAACTAATGTTCACATATAGACCTTTTACACATTAAATAACAGACATGTACTGTACATCAAACAAAAACTGTTTGCCTGCTTTATTGACAAAAAGGCATTTGACTCAATCTAGTATGAAGAGCTCTATAGACTCCTACAAAAAACTACTGCATCATCATATCAAAATATTATATATTAAAATAAAAACACAGATGTCAGGAACACAGATGTCTTTTCAGTCTGGATAACACCATCCTTGAACACAGAATGGAATTCTACAATATAAATATATCAACTTCAATATTGGGTGCAAGCTATTTGAAAGTGTGAAATATAGTATATCTTACATATAGTTCTATATCAAACTGAAATATGGGGTCTACAAAAATATAGAAAATAGGGGGAAACGAACTGAATCAGGAACTGAATACAGGTGTTTTACAGGTACACCCTAAAAATCCAAAGCAAAATGACAATTTATTTTAACGTTCAAAAGTTCAGAATTGGTTTATTTATTAAGATTTATATACAGAGATCTGGCATGAAACTCTAGATGGCGCAGTCCGATAGGTCTAACTCAGTCTGACCTAATGACATCATTATCACATGGCACAGCTGATTGGTTCTCTCCTGTATCGGTAGCCAATAAGCTCGCTGCTCAACATTCAAATATATGACTAGTGCTTGCCGTAGCAGTTGCAGCTTGCTTCAGAAACCCTCCACCTTCCCCAGCTCCACCTGTATAGATCTGCTACGAGGTGATTCGAGTACTCTATATGGGGGGTTATTTCATGTATGTTATATTTGCAGCAGCAATATTCTTACATGCCCACAGCAGCATGTTGTGGATGTATTGGCAGTAGCAAGTCCCTCCGAGAGTTGTCATGACAGAATTATATTTTTGAAACAAATCTTTTGTGCTTACCAAGGATGCATTTATTTGGGAACAATATTTAGGAAATATTGTAAATGCTGACAAGCTAACTTTATTGTTTCATGTCAGTGTTTAATGTTAAACCTGACTCTAAATAAATCATACGAATGTGGAATGGTGCCAGTGACTGGAGCGCATCCCACCCTCTATACAGGAATCCGTGTAGAGGCAAGTTTATATAAGAACTGGAATCACACATGCGTGACTGCTGCATTTGGCCTGTTGACTAAGTCACACATGCACAGTTGCACACACATCAGTATCTCTGGCTGCTTGGAGCTGCAGAGACATATGAGATCATCTTCCACTACGAGGATGTGTGATGGAGCCAGGGCTGTCACTCCAAGTTCAGGTCAAATTCCAGGTCATTAATGTGACATAGGATAACCATTGTTAGCTTATGTGTGAGGAAGGTGAGACCCCATATTGCCCCTTTGAAAGCTCTGAATACGCACCATTGCAGATATGCACAATGATACAATCATGCATAGTTCAAATTAGGGCTGTCAATTTAACATGTTAATTTTGTGTAAAATTGTCATTATATTTCTCAATATTGCTCTTTTTACTGTTTTTTTTCTCAGCTTTGTCTTCACAGGAATAAATGACATTTGAAAACATTTGACAATAGAAAACAGTTCTATTAACTTGTAATAATATTTCACAATATTGCTGTTTTAACTGTATTTAATAAATGTAAAACAAAATAAATGTAGCCTTTGTGAGCATAAGAGATTTCTTTCAAAAACATTAAAAAATCTTTCCAACCCAAACTTTTGAACGGTAGTGTTATCGTAAAATTTAACTGTACAAATATATTCATAATATAATATAAACAATTTAAAAAAGGTGTTTGCACATTTCTAAAGCTGTGTATGTTTCAGAGCATATCCAAACATACAAAAATGCAAATATTATTATACCTATGAATACTAATTAGATCAAGCTGGAAAAACAGCAAAATGCTACACAACAACCAAAGACAATGTTTATCTAGCACATGCTTACTTGCCAAAAATTAAAAAAAAATAAGCAGGCAGAATCTTTATTGTGTGTGATCGGCCCTTAAAGGATTAGTTCACTTCCAGAATAAAAATTTCCTGATAATTTACTTACCCCCATGTCATCCAAGATGTTCATGTCTTTCTGTCTTCAGTCGCAAAGAAATTGAGGTTTTTGAGGAAAACATTCCAGGATTTTTCTTTCATTTTTCTTCATATAATGGACTTCAATGGTGGCCAACGGGCTGAAGGTCCAAATTGCAGTTTCAATGCAGCTTCAAAGAGCTCTACACGATCCCAGCCGAGGAATAAGGGTCTTATCTAGCGAACCGATCGGTCATTTTCTAAAAAAAACAAAACAAATTTATATACTTTTTAACCACAAATTCTCGTCTTGCACTAGCTCGACTTCACACATTATGTAATCACATTGGTAAGGTCACGTGTATGACGTAGGCAAAGTACGGACCCAGTGTTTAAAAAGCGAACATGCAAAGAAAGTCAAATGCCCTTTACAAAAAAGGTAAAACAAAGATGTTGGACGATTTTGAAGTTGGAGGAGAAAATGAGATGGAGTTTTTTGCCCTACCCTAACTTTCTGAACCGGAGTACACAGACAA